GACTTTGGTTTTCTTTGAATTCTTCTATGCGGAAGAAGATTCCAAAGGAATTATTTTTGGTATGAACATAGTATTTTTCAAAAATGAAATTGTCACATTTCAATGTTGGAGTGTCAATAAAGAGTTGATTTGCCCTTATGTTGACATTCCTTCCTCTGAGTTCATTTCACTGAGGAATGTCATTCTGAAGTAAAGGAAGCATCCATTTAAAGTCTAAGTCACTAAGTCAGATACAGTCATCAAAATACATATTTTATGTTTTCCAGTGTGCAGCCCTTTCTGGACAACAAGCATGAACAGAAAAATCACATGAGAAAATAATTATTGCAATCTTACTTAAAAATGTGATTCTTAAAAAAAAGTTAGCACTAAGATGTTTTAATACATCTTAGTGCTAACATATGCTTTTTTAAGACCTTTCCTTTATGAAATTACATAAGCATTTTATACATTTTTACTCCTGCAGTGAGAACTAAAGTTTCCGTGTAATTGAAAGATAGGCATCTGCTTGTACTGATAGATGATAACTTGTTTGTGATTGAATAGGGGCATCAAATTTTATAGTAGCAGTTGCATATTCTTTGCATCATTTTGATCTACTTTTTAAATATATATACACAGGTAAGGTATGCTAGCAATAGAGAAGATACAGAATTTGTCTTTCTGAATGTATTCTGATAATTTCTCACAGTTGGCTTAGCAACAAATGTATAAAAAGTTATTTATATAAAAATGGAAAGTGGTATTATTGATTTCTGACAGCACTTGAGCAGGCTTTTGCATTTTTAATTCTGTGTCCAGTATATTGGTGCTAACTATGGTGTTAATTATAGCTTCATATTTTTGTATTTGTGCATCTATGTTTATTTCTTGAAGTTGAGGTTTTGCATTCTTTTTGCACTCTCATCATATCTTACAGCTAATTATAAAGAATACTTTCTCAAGCCTTAGTTCACCTCAGGAGAAAGCATGTGTTTAATTGTCTTTTCCTTCTCATCAGGATGCTACAAGAGTAGTGTCATGGTACAGTAGCTAGCTGCTGCACTCCTGCATATTCTGTTTGCATGAAATTATTAACTTAAAACAACAGCACGTTTAACTTGCTATTAGTTTGAGTGTCTACAGTGACAAGAAACCAAAAACAGAACAGTTGTCGAGTTGTCAACTGCAGTTGTAAATGCAAAATAGGTTTTGGGGCTATAGACTCTTGCAGTGATATTGAAATCATTCCATTTGTAGGAGGAAAAGAAATGAATATACTGAGATAGGTAAAATAGGTGGGGAGACAAAACAGACAGGCACAGAATTCTGCAAGGCTTATTAACTGTGACAGTACTAGATGATACTGTTGTAGAAGTTGGGAATAATAATTTCAGATACTTCTTTTGTGGGGAAATTTGTAGGCAAAACTGCATTACTCCTGTAGGTTTGATTTTATTTATTTGTTTTGTGTATTGGTCTTCTCTTTGAGGGGGAATTCGTGGAGGTATTTCTTATCTTTGTGCTATACCTTGTAGAACTTAACTCTTGATTACATGTATGTAAAGTCACATTTATGAATAGATTCTGTATCTTAATTAAAAATGTGCAATTACAGGGAAGAAAATTGATCTTATTCTACTGATAACAATGATAGCAATAAACACATATTCTACAGAAATACTGAAGTAAACAGCCCTTTATACCATCATTTTCTCCATCATTAATTTGTATTATATATTACATTATTTTAAATATATATATATATTTCAATATTTTCAAATACTTATCTAATGTATTTTTTGCCACTTTTTTCATTGTGCATTCAAAAAATCCTTCAAAAGTTACAAAGCTTCAGTATTCTTATTTAGTCATACTCTTAATTTTTGTAAAATCTTAAACAATTTTGCTTCTCATTAATCATTTTTCCATTAGTAATGGCACATATATTTAATGAATTGGTTTTATTTCTAAAAGCTGTGGGTCACAGCTGCCACCATTTCCT